GTGTGCGGCACCGCGGCCCCTCGTTTCGTGTGTGCCAACGCCATGTTCGACAACAGCACGATCCCCACGCCGAGCCCAACGCCTCCCGTGACGCTCCCCCCGATCCAGCCGGTTCTTACACCAGCCCCTTCGTCCGCCACGTCGGTCAAGGTGTCGTTGGTTGCCATGGCGTCGGTTGCCCTTCTTGGTGCTATGTTCTAAGCGGCGTGGAGCTGCCAAATTGATACTATGTCCTCTTGAACGGACGTTCGTCTTTCAACTGAAATCTGTCAGTCTCTGGGAGCTACTATTTCTTGACTATTTCGCCTCCTCCATTGCTGTGAAGGGCGTCCAACTGTGTTGTGTACGAAATTGATGTTGATGAGATGCAGATCGTGCAAGCAGCCACGCATTTTTGTGCGCATGACTTGTAGGAAGGCTGTTTGGCTTATGCATGAACCGCACCGTGGAATGAAGCGCCGTTGCGTGTGCCTAACTACTATTTTACGCCTGGTCGGTTCCACTTGGCGGCCTGGCCCGACTGCGGTGGGCTGAGTTCTGGTGATGTGGCTTAGAGCCACATCCAGAAGACCACAGGTGATGAAGTTGTGGCATCACCCGTGTGTCATGCATTTGTTTGCATTTGCTCATTCATGTTTTCCCTCCAAGCTTGGTCGAGAGTGTTGGTTCTGGGGCCCCTTGTTGAGTTTGGCCAGCTCAATTGGAGTTTGTGTGAGTCATGGTAACCTGGTCAGCATTAGCTAGCTACATGCATCATGGCTTGTCCTAGTCGTAGTGAGTGTAGTTCTCTTTGCCCGATAACTGCTATCGCTAACTCAGTTTTCCATTTCCACACTTGCGCACACAGTTCCCTCCATCCGGGGCTCAGATCAAAACTAGTTTTTCTGTCGTGGAAGAATCCTCAGAGCTCTCAAGATGAGCTCGATTTCTCGCGTTCTGGCAAGTTCGGAAGGTCCCGCCGTTGATGACAGTCGGGTCCCTGACATAACCGCCCACACCCCCGACGCGAACGTGAATGACCAAGTCTCGCAGTCTTCGCCGAATGACCCTGACCAGGCTGCCCCGGGATCTGGCGACTTTGGTGCACCGGAGATAACGGCCGCCAACTCAATCCAAACGGATGCCCAGGCACGCCGCGACTCTGATGCGACTTTGGCAAATTTATTTGGCCGCATGGATTTGGGATCGGGTCCTAGATTCTCCGCCATGACATTGCCTTTGACACCCGAAATTTACGTGCAAGGACCGTTTTCAGACCCTGTGCAACGTGCGTCTTTCGCCTTGCGTGTGAGTGAAGGTCTCCAAAACGACCAACACTCTGGTGATGCTGCCGACAACCTGCTGACACCACCAGCCACGAGCCAATTTGCCGCCCTAACCCGCCTCCAAGGCATGCCGCACACTCCGTCTCCTCCACGCTATGATGGTTCAACTGCGTTGGTGAAGAAGAAGTTCATCCAACAATACCAAGAGTATTGGTTTCAATGTGCTTCCCTCCGTCAGCTCGGTTTTCAGTCCTAAGTGATGCCTGTAGGCGCATGCATTGCCGACACGCGACGAAATCGTATTGCTAAATATGATCTCCGGGAATGGGCGGAGTCCACATCTGAAGAGGAGTGGATAACGATTTCCGTGAAGGCAACGAAAACGATCTGGGCAGCATTGATATTGTCCGAGTTGACAAACAAATGATGGAACGACGAGTCAACTTATCACTCACCGACTGCAAGGGTCGAATTTCCAATTTTGTGCACGCAATGGACACTATACTCGAAAAGTTGTCCATGACATCAATGGTGGAAGCCGAACCAAAGCGGGTTGTTGGCTACTTGGTGGACGCATTGGCTCCGCCAGATTTCAAGGCAACGGTGGTCGACGAATTGAATCGCAACGCCAACAAACGTTTGAAGTCGAACACGTTGGAATTTATTGATTATCTCCATGCGGCAATGAGTTCCTACATGCGTTGGGAACGCGAACGGTCGACGTCGCGAGTTCAAACAGTGTCACACCGTCCCCACCAGACCATGGTCGCCCCCTCTCCAACATCACCGTCCACTGTTTCTCGCCCTCCCACCCGTTCCGTCACGTTTGCGTTGCCGCCGCCGGTGCGCATGGCTCCTGGTGACCGCGCGCAGCCTCGGGGTGGTGAGTTCAACCGTGGTGGCTCCGGTGGCCGTGGTGGCCGCAGCGCCGGTCGCATGGCTAAACAGGCCGCGCGCCATTCGGGGCCTCGCTCTTGCCGCTCTTGTGGTGGTGGTGACCATTCGTATCGCGAGTGCCCTAACCGTTCGACAAATTAACAACATCATGTCGTCGGTAGTTGCTACTGTGTCGGCTGCGGGTAGTGTGGTGGCAGCGGTGGTTGAAGATGTCGTGCCATTACCCACTGTTTTGCTCGATACGGGTGCTGACACCTCGGTGGTCAATTTTAGCCTTGTTACGGCCTTGCGCCCCGCGGGTGTCCTTTGTCATGTGATCCCTGGTGCTCACCACTCTTTGGAACCGTTCATGGGTGAACCTTTTTTTCTTCGCGACCGCGTTCTATTGGGCTCTGTTACGCTATCTACGTCCGCTGGCCCTCTGCTCTTGCGCAATGTGTCTGCCTGGGTTGTCGATGATGCCCGGACTGAGCCGCGGTTGATCATTTCACGGCGGGTCATGGAAACGTTAGGTTATTCCCTCGATGCTCACTTTGTTCGCGCTCGCGCGCTGTCACCAGAGTGGAATCTCGATGTCCCAGCGTCGTGTGCGCCGCTTTCGGTCGCCCCTGCGACTACTCTGGCCGCGCAGTCTCCATCTGTCGCGACTCTGCGTTTTCTGCCTCCCTCGGACGAGGTCTTACTGTGTCGACACCTTCCTCGGCGACCAGTGATATGCCTGGATTGCACTCGGCACAATCGCTTATTCAATCTCCAACGCTTGGTGATGACACGGTGTGTGATGATGATGTGTCGGACGTCATTTCGTTGCCCCTACCAGTCCCTGGCGGTCAACCGGCTGTTCGGCGTTTGTTGCACGAGCGTGTTCTCGAGGCCAGCGAGGCCAATGGCCTCGCTGGTGATCATCTGTCGCGTTTACGTGCCATGCTCCACCACTCTGTGGATGTTTTTCGCATCGAGTTCGGCCGCAACCCTCCTGTCAAGGTTCCTCCGTTGGAAGTGCGTGTCCGTCCATCTGCTTCGCCGGCGAAATGCTCCGCCAGGCGCTACCCACCAGCTCATCAACGTTTCATGGAGGACCACATGGTGGACCTTGGGGCCGCTGGCCTTGTCTATCTCAATACTGGTAGCCGTTGGGCCTCTCCTCCGCGAATTGTGCTGAAAAAGGACGACTCGTATCGCATGACGGTCGATCTCGCTCAGTCAACTTGCGCACGGAGCAACTCAAGTGTCCCATGCCATAGCTCGAAGTCGCCCTCGGTTTCCTCACTGGCAGCCGTTTTTATTTCGCGCTCGATTGGTTTCGTGATTACTGGCAGCTGCCGCTGGCCCCTGGGAGCCAGGAACTGTTCACAGTTATGACTCATCGCGGCATGATGACGCCGACGCGTGTGTCCATGGGTGGTTCCGACAGCGTGGGCTACTGCCAATCGTGCGTTGAACTCATTTTCAAAGAAGTGTTGTATCGTGGGATCCACGCCTGGCTAGATGACATTCTGGGTTACGCTTCTACGGAAGATGCATTTCGGACCGCGTGCTCCAGGCATGCACGTCCTCGGGCCTCAAGCTACATCCCAACAAGTGTTCGTTTTTTCTCACGCGTGCGAAGT